TTGCAGAGATTCGAGACTCGGTGCACTCCAACCAACTGGCGTGCTGCAACTGTATGGACCCCCACTTCGGGAAATGTTTGCACAGAGGGCTCTTGTTGATTTGCTGGCCCGCCTTCACTTAGGGTGGGCACTAGGCTTGCTGGGGCCTTAGCCCAGAACATGTACATCATGGCAAGGCTCCTTCTTGAGGGCTCAATCCTCACATTATTCTGAAAAAAAAAAAAAGTTCGAATCCTGATGGACCAGATGTATGCAATATGACATAATTTTATTAATTTAATAATTATGAAAAAAAAAAAAAAAAAAAAGATTGCCAAAAGAAGTGGAGAGGGATGCAGCACAGAAATTAAGAGACGTTCCTTCACAGTGACCGCAGTGTGTCCCCCAGGGAGTCTGAGAGGTTGAGTCTCTGAGAAGGCATGAAGAAAGCTGGCGAGGATGGTCGAACCAAGGCACACAAGGAGCAGAGGGCTACACAATGCAATCCCATAGCACTTGTACGAAGCTGAACACTGAGTTTGATGCCAGGTCCCCAAGCAAGAAAACTTGCTTAAATTGCATGGATAAATTTAAAACAAAAAAAAATCATTAAATATGAAGATCTTGTACTAGGAGAATCACAAGGGAGAGAGAGCATGATTTCCTAAATCTACAGAATAGTTAACCCCCATTTTCGAACAAGTAGTACTTTGACCTCAAAAGATGATTGTCACTTGAAGGCTACAGCCGGGTGCACTCGAAGGGCTTATGTACTGGGCACGAGGAACTCAGCTCTAAGGGGTTTCGAGCGGGGGTACAGAATGATCGTCACCTCTTTTATCCAGCTGCAGCAAAGAACTAGAAGATTAAATCGAGGAACCGATTTCCATCAGCAGCCCCAACTATAGTGTCTAGCTTTTTCTCCAGGGATGGTCCATTGGGTATTTTCTCCACAGTGAGAGGGGTGCCTCTCTGAGAGACTCCCTCGACAAGGTGGAAGTTCTTGCGAACCTGGTCGAACTTGCGATTGCCATTGATGTCGAGTGAGACAGGGCTGTAGATGTCTCCACTGGACATGATCCCGTGCGTATCATCACTGCCCACAGGTTTGAGGTCCAGGACTGTGTCACTTGATCCCTGGAGAAAGTAGTTCTGTTGCATAAGAATTTGGCCCTGCGTTCCGAGACCCACAGCGGAGGATTTCCATCGCCGGAGGCAGTTGTTGTACATGTGGACGAAGCCAAAGCGCAGGCGGGGATGGCGCTGTCCACACCCGTCGAACATATTATGATGAAGTGTCACTCTTATCCTCTKATCGACGTCACCAAGCTTGTCGCTTCCTCCGAACAACATGGCCTTGTTGTGAGCTGAAAACAGGCATCGAGAGATGGTAACGTTAGTGGCTCCCCGGGTTATGTCAATTAGCCCATCCACAAAGTTCTTGCAGGTGACACGGTCGATCCAAATATCAGAGGGTGATTTGCTTCCGGCGTTGTTCCCCGTGATTTTGATAGCATCAATGTCGTTGCTCTTCTCCCCGGGGATGTCGAAGTCTGGCTTTCCTCCCTTTCCTTGGGAGAAAGCGCCATCGAAAGACATGTTGCAGACAATAACATTCTTGGTGTCGTTCTCTATCAGAAGACCAGCACCGAATATGACTACAGGTTTCCGTAACCCGCGGCCATCAATGGTCTTGTTTGATGAGACACGCAGCTGCCTCTTCGAGTCCTGCGTGATGGCGATGCCACTGTAGTCAATCATGGGGCTTCCATCTTTCTGGGGTGCCTTGTCAGCAGCAGCCTGGTCGAAGACGATCCACAGGGGCTCCGRCCGGGCTAGAGCATACTGGAGTGTGCCTCTCTCATCGATCGGAGAGAAGTTTGTGACAACATACAGGTCTCCGCCCTTTCCTCCTGTGGCCTTGCTGCCGTAGCCTTGAGCTTTGCCTGCCATGGAGAACCTCGTGCTGTCCATGGAGGCTGGATAAGGATTTGTGTCTGTGAAAGGGATCGTGGTTGGGAGCACGGCAGTTGTTGAACTCGCTGCTGATGCCGTTCGGAAGTCCAACGAAATGTCACCCGCTTGTTCTTGTGGGGCTGCTTATTCTTCCGCAGCTTTGTCTTGCTTGAAGACTTGAATCCCCTCCGTCATCTCTTCTTGCACCTGGAAAACTAAATGTTCCATCCCAAACTCAGCAGTCGATTCTGCCCTGATCCCTCGGTACAGGTCGCTCTGTATGTCATGGCCGCTGTCAGCGGCAGCAGTGTCGAAGTGAGTGTTGCTGCACTTGGGAGCGCACAACCCAGATGAGCCAGCAAAATGAAGTGGTCCAGGAGCGGTTTGCCAGCCCCTCCTGGTCGGCCTTGCAGATGCAGCACACCACCCTGTCATTGGGAGTGCGGCAACGGATTTGGGAGGCATTACACTCGTGACATTCACATGCTCGCATGATCCTCTAATGGACAGCAGGCACCTGGATTCCAACGCAAAAGTCACACGAGTTCTAAGTGGTCTGGTGTTCATGGTGGGCGATGGTGTCTGACAAGAATCCCTCGTGCAGAGAGGCACACCAGAGCTGATGCTGCCAAGCTTCACTTGCACAGTAGTTGCCATGATAGCTTTTGTGTGAAGAAGAGAAGGCTGCTCGGTGCTGACACACGCAAACATACACTCGCAGAGGGGCACACTCAGCAAAGCATGCATGCAAGATGCAGCCTGAAGTTCTCCCAGGGCAAGGACGACGAGGCCTTCTCCTCCTCCTTCCCCACCTACTTAATGTTTGAGTAGGCAACGAGGTCACCGTGATGAGCAAGACACGTTTCAAGAAGGATAAGAGACAGACCGTTCAGTTAGTGATGGTCCCCAGCCCCGTCTGCCACCACCTGTATGGGGGAATCTCCCAAAAGCCGGAGAATTGACGCAGCGGACGACACTCCACACAGGATGGCACACACAATGAGCGAATGACTCTAAGAGCATGCTGTTGTCCGTGGCAAAGTCCATTATTCATACTTGGAAAGGAAGCGTACCGTTGGATGTGAGGAATTGAGTGGGGTAAAGGTTTGTACTTCGCAGACATTGTGGGGAATGGGAGGCTGGCTGAATGCAAGCATAACTTAAAGTGGAAACAGGGCTCACCATTTTTGGAAGTGGAAACAAGAGTTGCCACTTTCGGAAGTAAAACCTTTCTCTGTGAGGAAAAGTCTCTCGCTGTGAAGCTAGTGTTAGGATAAGTCCAGACATGTGAGGGCACCAAGTTTTGGTATTGGGAACGGTATCCTGAATGAATCCAGCTGGCAAAGCCTGCTTCCATCACCTTCTTGTTACCTTCACCGCTCTAGTCTTCTTTTTGGAACAGGAAAAAAATGCATTCACCTTCCTCCTCCACTTCCCGTTATTTCGATCCCTTCTCTGCCAATGTTAGAGCTTTGGATAAGTTGTTACAGTAGGAAGGTACTACTACTAGGAACTTATATCGATCAGTGCATTGGGCTTGTTAAGAGTTTTCAACCTAACTTAGGGCCTCGCCACACCAATGTTGAAACATCACGAAATTCGACATATGTCAGRAGATTTTCGACATTCCCTCTTTCGACAGAAAACCCCTCTTCGCCACACCGTATGTCCAAGTGAAGAACTCACGAGTCGTATGCACAAAAGAGACAAACTGGGGTGAAGATAGGACAAGCGTTGGTGCGTTCTCTTTTTCAACATTCAGGCAAGAATTCGACATCCCAATGGAGGACTGTTGAAAATGTCCAAGTTTCAGGCTGGGAAACGAGCCCGTCTCGAGAGGAGGTGTCGAAGCCCTTTCCCTGACAGCTCCTGAATTTTTTTTGCATCTCGGATTTCGACATGCTGTGTGCCGAGGAGAAAATGTCGAAAAATCAGTTTTCAACATTGGTGTGGCGAGGCCCTTCAGGCTTTTCTTTCCTTTCTCTGCATCTCCCTTGTCCCTTACGGGAAATACAGACGAGGGATTAGGTCCTGCAAAATTCCCTGCGTTCTCTTGGTGTTGCGTTCAGAGATGTAATAACAACGCCCGCTGCAGTTTTCTTTCTTTTTGCTGACAGTGTCCCTAAAGTCTCCAGCTGGCGTAGCCCGGCTCTGTTCGTTTCTAAGAGTTGTTGCTGTTTCGGGAACTTCACGTGACCCGAGCTTCTGTTGGGAGAATGAAAAGTTAACACGTTTTCTGCTTTCTAAGCTTTCTTTTCCATTTTCCACAAGTTGAATCTTTGCTGCTGTACTGCAAGTGTTCTTTTCAAACGTTGTCTGAGAATCTGCAAGTGGCATTTTGTTAAAATTGACCTTTTTTTTTTTTTTTAATAACACGAAATTAATGGTCGAAAAATTTTCAGGTTTTTGCGTGCTTTTTGAACCTATACTACCACACACCTAGTACAAAGAATGTCATTTCAGAAACGGCAGTCCTTTGTCATGATTAGGCTTTGAGTGTTATAACTTATGCTTCCAGTTGGGTAAAGATCACTCTAAGGCATGATTAAGCACTACTTTCTGCACAATGTATGACCTCATGACAGAGGAATGCTGTTCCGTCCGTGGTGTTCTGTCTAGGCATGCAGTAGTATGTGTCTCCCCCGCGGCCCCGCCCCAAAAAAAAGAAGGAAATTTTGGGAGATTTAATTTCGGGCAATTATTTAAAAAGTCATTTTTTATGAAATGCCAGTCCTGTCTTGTACACGGACTATAATTGCGAAAATCCCTGAGTTCTTCTAGAGGTACAGCCAAAGGAGATTGAGAAATCTCTTGATCTTTTGGTCAGCCCATCCAAGTAGGAGGCCCCCAGGTTTCCTTTTTGCTGACCGTTCTGCTCTCCACAATGTCCACATACAGACTGGATGGTCAGATATGCAGTAGAGTACTCACAGCTGGAGGGCTTTGGAGCCAAAGAAAGGAAACTTAAGGGGCTCCAGCTGGCAAAGCCTGCTCTCTTCACTCCTTGTCATTTCCTCTGAAGTTGTATTGTGCCTGATTTTCTGTTGGTGGAGGCCACTGGAGGGAATGTTCGGCTATCACGGTGCAATCCATTCCCTTGCAAAACCAGTCTTTGAAGAAACACCTGTCAGTTGACACAGACCACAAATTTAAAAGGTTTGCAGTGCCCGTAGCAAAAAGGCTAGCAGCAAGAGGCAAATTCTGCACMGGGACAGTTCGGATTGGGAAAAGTTATAAACTACCGCTGCCGAAATACCTTCGTTGGCCCCAAACTGGCAAAAAGCCTGGGAGGCGTTACCGGCCCGGCCGGGGTGCAAAAATGACGCAGAGTCTCCCTTCAGGGTCTCCCACACATTTTGCTCTGCTTGGGGGCCGCATAAGAATACAAGGTTTTGCCACAGGGTTATTCTATAACTTATAACTTTTCCCAATCGGATTTGTTACGGCCGGGCAAAACTCCACATTGGCAAAAGGAGGCTGGGAACCACTGGCACTTGGGGAAAAAAAGGAAGGGGCAAGTACATTTTGGTCAAGAAATCCAGTTTCAAATAGGGAAAAAAAACTCAAATCGGTAGGTCTGTCACGACCTGAGTTCAAAACGGTGGTAAAACAACAAGCTGATGGTGTAAACAGTCCCGGTAAGTCAGGGGCCAGCAGTGGTGTGCAGAGGTTCTGAGTTCAGAAACTGCCACTACCAGGAAAGTGAAGCAGAAAAAGGGGGTTCAAAGGTCTTTTCTGTTTGGCTGCAGTCCCGGTCTATTTCCTTCTGGAACACTCCTCCCCCCAATTTTCTTGTGAGCTACTTTTTTTTCCCCTTCTCCAGAATCTTCGTTTTCCTCTTCTTCTTCTACAACTACTACATTGCCCAGGCTATTTCTAGATGAAGCTGGAAAATAATATTTGCAGTGCATTCAGATCAACTGACTATGATACAGATATTAGTCTCATAGTGTGGGCCCTGCTCTCTCTCTCTCTCTCTCTCTCTCTCTCTCTCTCTCACACACACACACACACACACACACACACACACACACACGCACACACACACACGCGCGCGGGACCCGGGCATCATGCGCCCAAATTTTCACTTCTGTAAGGAACTGCCAAATCATGGACTGAGAACACAGCTGATTTATGGGTTTTGCCTCTAGACAGGCACGCAGACAGATCTGTGTGTGTGTGTGCTTGCTCGTCTGCGTGCCTGTCTGAGTGCTTGGTCGCTTGAGTCAAGTTGAGTGTGTGTGTGTGACCCGCAAGGCGGCAAGGGCACTTGTTTGTTTGGGAGGCCCCACAGGGCCAGTACTTACCTGTGGCCGTGACTTTGAGGGTTGCAGTGTGGAAAACACTCAAGTGGCAGGAGTAGGTCTGCGACACTTAGGGGACCTCCAAGCTCCTGACTAATGGGACCAAAACTGAAATTAGGGTTTGGGGGTTAAATTTTTGGTTTTTTGGTTTTTTGTTTTTTTGCCTGTTTTTGTTTTGGTTTAAGGTTGTTGTCTGCCAAATTTGGTATTATTTGGGTTATTAGAATTTTTGCTGTTGGGAGGCCTGAAAATCCTGAAATTTGGATGACGTGTTTCATGCCAAAATTGCCTGAAAATGCACTTTTGGGTTGCTGCTTTATGTGTTTTTATTTTTTATTTTTTATTTTTTTTTTATAAATATGTTAGTAAGAAGTGCACTCTATACATTGGTGTGGAGTTTGCTTGAAATGGCCTTATGGTTTTCTTATAAATTGACCTGAAAAATGGGGGGTCGGTTAACCTTCTCTCCCATGTCCGGGACCCCCCTGACTGTCCGCCCAGGACGTCCGGCCAGGACGTCCTGCCATCGGACAACTGGTAACATAGGTTTTGGATCTTTCAAAGATGTACAACAATATATATATATATATATATTTTAGAACTTCATGTATTTTTAAAAAACTCAAAACCATAAAAAACAAATTAAAAAAAGGAAAAAAAGACACACACACGCACAGAATTGGGCCTGTAGCAGATTGCATGAGTCTAGCGTCCGAAGATCCCGTACGGCATGGTTCGTCCGCCTCCGCTTCTATTAGGGCTGGGAGGTTGGCCCAATC